AACACAGAGCATCTTCAGAAGACAAGTTGATAAAGTAAATTTTAAAAATATGTATTGTTCGATACAAGTGTGTATTGAACCTAAAGCACTGTTCGATACGGGTATTGTTGCACTCCTATTTTGCAGGTATATGGATGTATAGAGAAATCTTACTGGTTTTTTTCAACTTTAATGGATTTTTTTCAAAACCTCAGTTTCAAATTTATTTAACATGTCAGAGCCTGTAGGACGTTAAAAACAATAACATCAAATGACCATCTTTGAACCTGTTCTGCTGCTAGTAATGAAACTAATAAAAAGTTCTGCTCTTCCTCAATTCTCCCTTCCTCCTGCGTGCTTCGCAGCAGGCGCTGTCATCTTCGCGGCCGACAGCCCCACCCCCAGTATCGGAATTGGTATTGAAATATGCGATTCGATCACAGTATTTACTTGGTATCGGATCGATACCAAAATTCCCAATATTGCCCACCCCTACTGTTAGGAACAGAAGGGCCAAGAGCAGGGAAGATCTCTTTTAGAAGTCTATGAAAAAGGTGAGAAATTCCTTGCAAAGTGCAGAGGAGGCTTCCAGGTGGGCTGGTTCATTTAGATGGAGAACAGTATTCAGAGTAGAAAAGAGGATTGGGGGGTTGTGCGAGTTTGAGACATCTGAGAAGTATTTACCCTTTGTTACAGCTTTCTTTTTTGTGTCACTTCAATAGAAAATGAAACCAAATATTAGTTTATTTAGTTTGTTTATTTCTTCATCATCAGTGACCTTATTTTTTAAGTGAAGAGAAAATAGAGACAGAGAGAAAAACTGAGAGAGAAGTAATTAGAAAGATAGAAAGATTGAAGTAGCGATTAGAAGTATATTAAATAACAGTAACAGCTTTCTGATAAGAGTATCAGCTCTTTTATCTCAAAAGAAACCTGCAGCTTGTCCTTTCTCCACCTCCGCTCAACTTTCTGACACTCATGGCTGAGTGTTCTGGTTTCATCATTTAACCACATTTCTGGACTTCAGGTGTCTTGTTTTTACAGGAGCTGCCCAGTCTAGAATATTTACACAAGTTATAAGACATACCTTCATCTGTTGAGGCTGTGGCATCTTGACATTTCTCAGCAGATGAACCACAATCTAAAATATTTGAAATTTTGTTTCTTATACAGTATAACACTGCAATGAATTATACAACTATAATGATTAGGATCTGCTGTAAACATACCTTCATCTGTTGAGACTGTAGCACCGTCTTCATGAGACACAGAAAAAAAATTTCAGCAAAGCACCTAATGAAAACAAAAATGTGAGTGTATGTACATTTAATAGTGAAAGAGCTACAATCATTTTACATCTTGAATTAATATAATCAGCTTTAACTAAATCAAATTAGAATAACATGCTTGAATCTAAGTTTTAAAACATTTTATGTGTAAAAATAAGACCAACAATATCACAAAAAAGTAGTATCACAACAGATGTGTAATGAACTATGGAAAGCTTAACAACTGTTACTTTAAGATATAAAATTGTATATTTTTTATTAATTTCTGAGTTGCTTCTGATTTAAAAGATATAGTAGAAGTTTTGTCTTTTTTGGTATTTTGAGTTACTTGCATTAGATTTTTTTAATCTCTACCTTGGCTTAAGTTATTGTTTTATTTTCCAGTTAAGTTCATTTTTTAAATGTACATTGATGTACCACTGTCTCGTTTTCATTTTTTGATTTATTCTTTCTTCCATTGTCTTTTCGAAAATCCTGAAGGGTATGTACGTTTCATGCTTATCACTGCTGAACTTTACAAAACTTTACGATGGCAGGGCAGGCAGGCATGCGAGTGAGCATCGCATCATGTCACAGACAGCTCTGATGGAACTTTCCTGAACAGACTGAGGTGAGGAAAGTTGCAGACTGGCAGCTGCTGTCATTGGCTGTGAATGCGGAAAAGGGCGGACCAGCGGCTGCACTCATTGGCTGAGCCTGTGACTGAGTAGTCACAGCCAATGCGTGGCCAGTACTCATGGGGCCCCTTTAGGTGGGGAGCGCGAATAGGACTCCAGTTATTTCAATGCAATGATGTTGGTTGACCGTCGGGGACTCCTTTTAGCTCGCGGCCCCCGCAAATGCCCAACTTGCCCACCTTATCCTGACGGCTCTGCCCACATCAAGCTGGTTCAAGCTGACAGAAAGGAAAACCAGCTGGTATAGTCTGTGGGTCCCATGAGGATGACTCAGCAGGGCTGTGCTCTTAGAGCATAAAATGAAAGAAGACATGAAAATACAGTAGCTTAATGAACTGTGGTTTTGAAGCACTGAATTTGAACTCTGCGGGCCACCGTACTGTCTTGATTATTAATATGAARGCAGAAGTAAACAGAATGGACTGGTGAGCAACGCTGGGAGTGATTGGGAAAACCAACGTGCATAAAAACATGTTTTATTGAGAACTATTGTCATTTTACACATGAATCTAATTCATAAGAACCACAGATTGGAAGGAACAAAAACAGATAAAAACTTGTGAGAAAGATGAAAGATTTTTTTTTCTCTTATGCACCTCAAGAATCCTAATTGAACCCTGGACAGGTTGGAAGTTCTTGAGTAGTTTCTTTCACATCGCTCTGCTCCTATAAAAAGCCATAAAAAGCAGCTTAGACTTCATGAGTCGTTTCAAAAAGTGGCATGTTTTTGTGCAGGGGAAAGTTGTGTACGAGGATCAGTGGAGCACATCCAGGGAGCAGAGGCCACAACCTGTCGTAAATGGAGTAGCCAACCTCGAGATCTTACAGGACTTCCGCTCGGGGGATCAGGCACAGACGGGAGTAAGAGCCCGCAGACAACTGGCCGGTCTTTTGACGAAGAAACTGAAGGTGGACAGGTAACATGGCAAACTTCTCTTACTTAACAAAAAAAAAAACAAAAAAAAAACATGTTGGTCTTTATTTGCATCAGTCCACACAAGTGGTTTGAATGAGTTTTTTAAGAGGTGTGTGATCAGTTCAGTTCAGATTTATTGTCACATCACATTGCACAAGCGTACAGGTGAGTGAAAAACTTGAGTGCAAATTCCCACATATATGCAGATCACAATGTAAAAACATACTAAAAAGATTAAAAGAAACATTAAAAAAATATATATAAGTATATATAAAAAAAACTTGGTCTATATCAAAATAGAATAGACGTACATTGTAAACAATAACTGGAGTTATGAACGTAAACATACAGTATTACTAAGTTAATGTACAGATATGTTTATAACTATGCGTATTATGTTAAAAACTTATTTGTGCAATGAGAGCTGAAAGTGTGGTCGGATGGACAGAACATTGTACTACTGACTGTTCAACATTCTAATCATTGGCACTCAGAGCAGATGTCCTTAGCTGTCTGTGTTATGTCTTCACGCGTCGACGTAAGATAAATATTTTCAAAGTTCATGAGCACTGCTACTGTTACTGTAGTGAATGTTAACCTTTGCTCTTTCGCCCGCTCAGGAGCCAGCTCATCTCTGATAAACATGGTATCAGCATCACCTCAGATCACACGTTTGAAGACGGGAAAGTTACCCTGTGTAAAGAGAACACCTATGAGGTATTTCTGCTACTTGTCAGTCCAAATAAATCCAGTTAAATTTGTACTTACTCTTTTTTTTTTACCTCCTCAACAGTATAAGATGACACTGAATGTGAAAAACACTGGAACACAAAATGTGTATTTCACCTACTACACATCGCTGCCCTGGTGCAAATTCCTAAAGCTGTCCGATGAACACAAAGTGACCAAACAGAACCCTCTGCTTCTAAACCCAGGTAATGTAACCGCCCACAAGAAAGTTTTTTTTTTAAATTTAAGATGATGCAAAGTTTAAATAGAGATAAAAGCTGTTTTTTTTATACCTGTTCTGTTCTCAGGGGACAGTTATGAAGTCCAGGTTCATTTCTTCTGCAGCAATTTTGGGGTTTCCTCAGCCACACTGGCCTTTGAGTTCAAACTGGACAGTCAAGTCTCCTCCAACACGTTCCATATCGTCCGTTTCATCGAGGCGCAGTGCATCACTTCCTTAGGCATGGACCTGGCACCCATCGCTCCCTTCAAGCCTCGCTCTGTGCTGGTCTTGCTCGCTGATATCAACAGCGAGATTGTTGACGGACAACCGCCCAAGGGGTAYGATCATTTTATTTTAGAGCTGGAAGTAAGAGAAATTTTGAGCTGTGCAGAAAATCAGTGTTTTTTTTGTTAGGTTTACTTTTAGTTTACTGCAGACATGGTGAACTCAAGAGATCTCACGTTAAACTCTAACATCTTCAAGTATATATTTTTTTAAATACACAAATAACTATATTTCCAAATGATTAAGTTATTCAATAGTGGATGTAACAGTATAGAAAATTACTTTGGGAGTTTTGAAAGCTTGTGAAACAACTTCCGTATGGAGAGTTTAAAGGTGCCACAAAGAATGGTGCGAAAACATTCAGAAAAAAATTATTTTTTCTCGTATTCATGTTTAATGTGGCTTTACACAAACACACAGTACATCTTGTGTGGGACAATTTTCTTGCATATGTTTATGCTCAGATTTGTTGATGATACAGATAGGTGCGTCAAGTCGTTTTCGTTCTCTTTTCTTTTGCATTCATCGGAGATTTTGAGCTTCTCTGATTCCAATATATTTGTTTACTTACGCAGACCATAGCCAGCCTATTGATGGACAATACTATGACTCTCATCAACCACTTAGTTGTGATCAAGATGGCGGCACCATTGTTTGGCTGGTCCACCTCTTGCTCCTATTTACGCTTTTTCTTTATAGTTTTACACCTGTTATGGATTATTTTATTCCAAACACTTGGTCCTACCTTTTGTCCTCTGACCAACATGAACATCTTGGCTGCTGCAGCTCCTCAGCTCCACTATGATCGTCAGTCCCTACTGATGATACGAAGATCCATGGAGCTGCCTTTCTCTGCATGGGAGGACTACCACTGCACCCATCCTCCACTTGCCTCTCCTCCACCTCTTGGAGCCGGACAGACGTCTGATTACCCTCCCTCAATGTCGTGGTAATCCAGCGAGGAAACTCAAAAAAGCGAGGCTGCTGTGCGGGTGTTTCATCCTGAAAGAAGTGCTCTGCTGGACCTGGTGATTCCCTGCACAGAGTCTGGCCTCGCTGCCTCCTCTATCTGACTGGAGCCCGGGACCTTGATGGCCCACTCGGCGCACACCACGCTTGGCCTACCATTTTGACATCGATTTCCTCCCAAAGCTGGCACCACRACTCCCGCTCCGAGCTTYGCAAAAGGAACCTCATCCAAATTCTGCTGGTTTCACCGCCCAACCTCAACAACCCTCCGCCGCTCCAGATACTTCTCCTGAACGTGAGATCCATCGCCAACAAGGCTCTTCTGCTCAACGATCTGTTTCACGCCAAGGATCTTCCTGGTTGAAACTTGKCAGAAGAAAGATGAACACTTCCACCTGAATGAGCTTTGTTAGTCTTGAGACACGGTCCTCGCGACGCCGCGGATGGAGAAGCGGGKAGGCSGCCTCGCAGTCGTACACCGCGACAATTCAACCTGCAGGCTGGTGAGCACCAGGACTTTTACCACGTTTGAATCACAGACTGTTAAAGTTGGATCTTCTCATCCCTTCTACTGCATCTTGATTTATCGCCCTCCAGGACCCGCTTCAAACTTTCTCAAAGACTTTGCTGATTTTTTTCATCCTCCGTCATAAAACTGGACCGCCTTTTACTGCTTGGTKACTTTAATATTCAMTTTGATGCGACAGACTGTAATGAAACCATGGAGTTAATTTCTGTTTTAGAAAATTTTAATCTGTCTCAACATGTCTCAGCCCCCACTCACCAAAAGRAACACATTCTCGACCTGATCTGCTCTGTGGGACTGAATGTCTCTATTGATGATTTGCAAATTAGCKACCATTATGCCATGTTCTTTAACGTAAATGCGATCTCAGAGCCCCCTCCCCCCAGAGAACGACCTCAGAGGCAGATTCTGAGAAAGGATGCTGCTGACAAATTTTCAGCCTTTTTGACCCCTCGCACTCTAACAAATATGACACAGCCAGAGGTTTTTGCACCGCTATTAGACCAGCAATTTGCATCTGCTTTTAATAACTGTACTGTCACAGCTAATACAAGCTCTACTGTTAAAAAATTTGTACCCTGGATTAATGAAGAAATTCGCAGTACTAAACGTGCATGTAGACAGGCAGAGCGAAAATGGAAGTCGTCAAAACTAACGGTCCACAGACAACACCTTAAAGATTTAAGACTTTCACTGCAGTCCATRATGAAAGATGCCAGGTCAAAATATTTTGCTCAGTTAATCACCCGGTATAAGAAAAATCCCAAAACCTTATTCAACACTATTGACTCACTAGTATTGCCGGGCGTCCCCTCCCCATACACGTCTTCAGCTCCTACCTGCCACAACTTCCTCACACACTTCACTGTTAAAATCGAGAGCAGCCGGAGTAACATCCCTCTTAAACCGGTTTCTGCTCCATCAGACTTACCCATCAGACCTGATTCCAGCCCCACGCAATCGTGGTCTTCCTTTGACCTTGTAACCTCAGAATACCTTGGAACTGTAATCCAGAAAATGAAATCCTCAACCTCTCCCGCTGACGTTCTACCACCAGCTTTTTAAAAACTGTTTATGATGTGGTGGGGCCCTCACTTGTTGACCTACTGAACCTCTCTCACTTACATCTGGGTGTGTGTCAGGCAACTTCAAAAAGCAATCGTTCAACCCAAATTAAAAAAGCAGTCCCTCAACCCCTCAGATCTCAACAACTACCGGCCCATCTCKAAATTACCTTTTCTGTCTAAGGTCTTGGAGAAAATTGTATCATAACTTACTGCTTACCTGGATGAAAATAATAATCACGACTTTTACCAATCGGCTTCCGCAAATTTCACTCCACTGAAACCACACTTCTACGTATTTCAAATGACATACTAATGTCTGCTGATAGTGGCTTCTACACCGTTCTGCTCCTATTAGACCTTTCCTCTGCCTTTGACACTGTTGATCATACCATTCTACTACACAACCTGAGAAATATGGGGATATCGGGTGCTGTATTAAACTGGTTTAATTCATACCTCTCCGACCACTCTTTCTCAGTACTTCAAAATCAAACTTATTCTGAACCAGCCCAACTCACTTGTGGCATACCACAGGGTTCAGTCCTCGCCCCTCCTGTTCCTCCTCTACATCCCCCTAAGCCAGATTATTGACAATTTTCATGAAGTCTCTTATCACTTCTACACTGATGACCTGCAGTTATACTGCTCTTTCAGTGAGTCAAGTTCCCACAAGTTGATCTCTTTTTTTAGACTGTATCGCAGAAGTCAACAAATGGCTCTCTGACAACCTGCTACTCCTTAATCGTGACAAGACTGAAACTCTGATCCTGGCACCTGAAAAAATTATATCCCTCAGATAAAAGAACAACTGGGCTCTCTGGGGCTGGCTGTTAAAAAAAGCATACGAAATCTGGGAGTCAATTTTGATTCAGATCTGTCACTAGAAAAACACGTCAAAATCGAGTTACCTCATGCTATTTCCAACTCCGTAACCTTTCTAATCTTCACCCCCTCCTGCCTGCTTCTGACCTGGAAATGGTAATCCATGCCTTTATCGCAACCCGTCTTGACTGCTGTAACAGCCTGTTCACCTGCTTAAATCAGAAACCATTAAACCAGCTTCAACTTGTTCAAAACTCTGCTGCTAGACTTCTAACTAAAACATCTAAATTCTCTCACTGCACCCCTATATTATCAGACCTCCACTGGCTACCTGTACAATTCAGATTCAAGTTCAAAATCTTGGTTCTCACTTTCAGAGCTCTACACGGCCAAGCGCCGAATTACATCTCTGGTCTTCTCTCGCCTTATAACCCCATACGCAACTTGCTCTCACAAGACCAGAATCTTCTCTTGGTCCCCAGTACTCGCTTCAAGACCCRTGGTGATTGTGCCGTTTCCTCAATGGCTCCCTGACTGTGGAACCCCTTTCTGCCCCATCTAACATCTCTTGATAACACTGACTCCTTTAAAAAAACAACTAAAAACACACCTTTTCACTCAAGCATTCAACTGAATATATTCAACACCTCACAACTTGAGTTTATAAGCCCTGACTAACAATCATGTGTGTTATTCCAGTCTAGTATCTATCCCTTCCACCTATAAGGGTGAGAGATAAATTGAACTCCTTTTATGTTTTTGTTTCAAAAAAGAATTGTATTGAATTTATAATTTGTACAGTTATTGTGATATACTTGCTTTTTCTTTCTGATAATGGATGTACAGCACCTTGTGAAATCCTTTTCTGTGAAAGGCGCTATATAAATAAACTTTTACTCACTTACTTACTTACTTACTTACTTACTTACTTACTTACTCACTCACTCACTCACTCAAATTTATATATAGTTTTCCGTAAATTAAGCTGAGTGCTTTGTTTACGCTGAGTGCGTACCTGCATTTCAGGAATTGCATATCAGCGTATCTGAAAATACTTGTTAGAGATTTTTATCCTTTATCATTTTGTATTTGATCATGGCATCAATTAATTGTATTAATTAATCAGGTTCTTTAACTTTTAAATGAATGAAGTTTTGTTCTGCTCTCGGCTGAGTGCAGGCCTACCATAAATTTCACCTTCTGCTGTTCTGCTGCTCTGCTGATAAGAGACAGACAGCTATGTGATTGGTCAAGATGTGTTTTTCTCTGTTCTCTCTTTCTGCAATAAAAAACCAGCTGCCCAAGCAAAGCCTCAGAACTTCTCCAGACTTTCTGGCCCTCAAAAGCTAAGTAAACTGGCTGAAATTCTCGCTTTGCAAAGGTAAACTGATCAGAATTGTGTACTAATGTCTGTCTGGTTCATTTCTTAAGGTTAATTAATTTCACCCTGACAACACCACTGGAGTAAACACTTTCAAACATCAATATTTGATTCAGGATAAGCTTTATATTTTTTATTTCATAAATTGCAATAAGTATTTTTTAATTCTGATCGGATGAGTTAATGGCTAGTCAGAGCAAGGTCAAGATCAAAGTGGATTGCTGCTATTAAAAAAATTGTCAATATCAATACTTGTATTGTTGTACTGCCAAATTGCATTAATTAATATTAAATGAAGTTGACAATGTTGAATTCCTAATATTCTATAATGAATGGACAGCTTTAATAACATGGATTATTTTTATTTTATTTTTATTTTTTGCATTCAAATCTGACTAACTTTTCCCCCTTTGTTTCCACTTTTAACAGACTGTCAGATATGCAGCTGAAGTATGTGTTTCGGTTAAACCAATACGAAGTCCCACCTTACGTAAACCAGCTCATCAGCTCACTGAAGAAGCCTAATCCTGTCACAGATCGAAGGTACGTTCTTCTCTGTTCCACCATTACAAACCAAACAGCAATGATCACTTGTTAGCTGCTGTGTACAGTAGTAAACTGTTCACTCTTTAGAGGAAACGTGTTGAGGAGCTCCTTGAGCTGGGAGAACTACAAGGAGAAGTTTCAGCTGCTTCTGTATCTGGAGGAAGTTCAGATGGTGGTGGACATCAAGAGATACAACATCACTGATGAGGACGGAGAGTATGCCACCCTAATAAGAGACCAGTTCAATAAGAACCTTCTTAATATGGAGGTAAATATTTAAGCCACATATTTTCTTCACGTTCGTTCGTTTGTTCGTTCGTTTGTTTATTTAGTTATTTATTTATTACTGAGTCCTGTTCGGCAGGKTGAAACTTGAAATTGATGTCTGAGTGCCAAAGTGAGGCCCAACAGTTTTATTCACACATTTATTCTTTTAGGTTTTCTTTTGAAATTGAAGTAGAAACATTTAACAAGTATTCGTGAGAACAAAAGAGGTAGTAAATTAGGCTGTCTATCTGTTGGGAGAGCATTTTATTTTAGAAAAGCATGCAGAGAACTAAGAGAGAGGAAAAGCTGAGGTATTTATGATGATGAATGAAGAYGGTTTTACGTCTTGGTTTGGTCCCTACAGAGTCATGTTTAGATAAACTGACCAGTGAAAGACACATTTCTCTCCTCTTCACATAGTTTTACTTCTAAGAAACTGAAAGTTGAAATTTTTAAAATCCATCTTTTTAATGTTTTTGGAAACTCAAACACAGCGGTTGTCACTACCTCAGTACCACACTGAATAAACAATTGTAAAGACCCAGCGAGACATGTAACACAATATTACACAGAACCACACTACAAGTAAAGATTAATAATGGCTATAAAGAGAGTTATCCATTAAACGCGTCTGAGTTCATTAAAGATTCAAGATTCAAAATGTGAACTCTTTCTTTCCTTCTGTTAACAAAAAAAAWTATTTTTTCCTCCGAATCGTTGCCCAATACAACATTGGTTCTTTGTTGAGTGAAGATAAACGGTTTATCCATCATTTTATTTATATTCTTTGCTATGCTCTGTGCCACATTGGGAGTATTGAAGAAATTRTGATAATTTATCTCTTGCTGTGTCTTCAGCTCATTTATCCTGACAGAAAAAGGCGTCCTAAATTTTGTAATCACTGATCCGCTGTCTCATGTGATATTGAAGTATAAACCAAAMAGAACATCATCTGATATCACCTGAGATCACGCAGAACATTAGACTAAAGCTCCAGCATTAAAGGCTGTAGGCAATATGCATTTTTTYGAAGGAGTACTTATGGTTTGATTGTTTTTTTTTTTAATGATCAGTTAAATCAAAAAATAACCAGATATCTTTAATACATTTGTCACTATGAAACAGTTTTTTAATTCCCATCTTGTTTATCTGCAGGTTCCTGGTGTGTCCGAGAAGCGCCCATCTGTTCTGCGGGGAGATTCGCTGCTGGTGTACCCTCAGGGAGTACCAGTAGACAAGAAATACCGCGGTTATGTTCACAGCGTGCAGCAGGACAGCGTGAAACTGGGCTTTAGCTCAAAGTAAGATAACGACACTTCAGTAACTAATAAAATAAACATGGTCACATGTTTGCTAAAAAAAACAGAACATGCTGGCTAGTAAAATTAAGTCCCTGCCTCCATTTCATTGCAGGTTGCTGGATATCTTAATAAAKGGGATGAAATTCAACGTGGAGTTCACCACCAGCCGCCTCACTCTGCGCATTCAGCACAGAGCAGTAGAACTGGCAGCTGCTTCCAACCTGAGGAGTGTTCTGTTCCCTGATGTAAACCCTTCCACATGTCAGAAACCTGAGCTTCCCACGTTCAGGTAACACTGCAGAAAACCTGCATGCTTCTTTACATACAGTAGCAAATTAAACCTCTCCATCTGACTGAGGTTGGGTATGTGGTTCTCCAGAGGTCTTGCATAAACATCCTAAAGGGAACATGTTAAATTCAGGATGTCATATCAACACCGACTAAATTGATGTCTAAAGTAAGTTTTTTTTTTTTTGTCATCCTAGTGTTGTTTGCAGCTTACCACTTTGCTGTGTCGGTCCATAGACAAAAAAAAAAAAAAAAAGCCAGATCAATCAGATGAAGTCTTTCAGAAAATCCTTCTTATTACTGGTGGGTGTTGCTGAAGCAGTGTTTCGGGCAAACAAAGAGGACTTTTCCTACTAATAGGGGTACACTTCCAATAAAAATWAATTTAAACTAGTCACTTCAAAGAAGTGAGACGTGGGCTGCCAACTTATCGTGGTGGAGAGGTTTGAGTGTCCCAATGATCCTAGAAGCTATGTTGTCAGGGGCTTCATGTCCCCGGTAGGGTCACCCAAGGCAAACAGGTCCTAGGTGAGGGATCAGACAAAGAGCAGCCCAAAGACCCCAATGATGAGTGCTACAGATGGTGTTGCCTCGACGCGGGTCACCGGGGCTCCACTCTGGAGCCAGGCCTGGAGGTGGGGCACGTAGGCTGCTGCCCCCACAACTTGACCCCGGATAAGCGGAAGAAAATGGACGGACAGACGGACTGCGAAGAAGTTCAGAACGGGGGACGGCACGTTGGTTAATACACCCAACAACCAAAATCTTTGACTTATCCACTTGTAGCTTTGGCATCCTTGATTTTGGATGTAAAATCACTGCGAGAAATAAAAATGGTGGATTCATGAAACTGGTTGGCTGAAAGTTTTCACCATATAGTATTTGGCAGTTCTGTAGCAAATTCTGTGACATAATAGTTCATAAAACCTTAATTGAAAATGGAGAAAACTGAATGGGCTAAAAAATATGACCCAAACAGAAAATAAAGATATCTATGCAGCACTTTTTTCTGCACACTTTAGAGAATCCAAGTATACAACAGAATTTAATGACTAAAAATGGGGATTTTGCACATGTTCCCTTTAAAAGTGTATCTTTTGTTCTATTTGAAAAACAAGTTTGGTTGACGGTGTTTGGAAGGCAGATTAAAATAGGGGGAAAAAACATGCATTCATTATATTTTTCTTTTTCCTTTTTTATATTGTCTTTGTAGATTGTTTGATGGGCGACTGCAGAAAAACCCAGAGCAGTATCTAGCAGTGCAACACATTGTGGCTGGCTCCTCCAAACCTGCTCCCTACCTTGTGTTTGGCCCTCCTGGAACAGGTACATTGAGTTCCAACAAACTCTGCTTTTCTGAATTTTATTTTATTTTATTTTTTATGCTATGTGTTTTTTTTCATACAAAGGACACAAGTTATGGTACATACCACAAGGTACAAAAAACTGGAAAAAATTGTTTATCTTAGTGTCTTCCATGGTAAAGTACATTTGTGTTTCTGCTTATTTTTCCCTATCTGCATGGGAAGCACAAGTGTTCAGTTGGTTTAAATTGGCTGTAGAACAATGGAGTCTGCTAAGCTTTTTGGCACAGATGTGACTTTCTTTCAGCACTGCATTCCTTTCTGACTCAGGCAGTGGAGCTTAACCAGATTGTTTCTCTGTTTAGGTAAAACTGTCACTGTGGTGGAGGCCATCAAGCAGATAGAGCAGACCCAGGCCTCCTCTCACATTCTGGTTTGCGCTCCTTCAAACAGCGCCACCGATCTGCTGTGCACCAAGATTCTGGAACATGTGGACCCGCATAAAGTGTACCGCATGTACGCCAGCAACTGGGACCCAAAACAAGTCGCTGAAAACCAGAAGGTCTGTGCTCCTGCACCTCACTTCCATTTCAGTATGTAAAATGAACTGTGCCATTGTTTATTTTCATAATGCCACTGTTGGTCCAACTCATCATCAATTACTGTTGTCTTTTTTGCCCCCTAGTGGACTTAAAATGTTTTGCAGTTTTATAATGTGTCCATGGAAATTGTGCTGCTTTACAGAAATGCTCTAACCTGAAGGGGGAGGTTTATGTTTATCCTGCCAAAGAGGAGCTGATGGAGTATAAGATTATAGTCGTCACCCTGTTCACTGCTTCAAGGTAGCTTCCTAACGTGATGCTTCTTTCCTTTTTTAAACCTCCTGTATCACGTCAACACATTATGCTTGTTTGAAGTTCATAAATCTAAATGGTGACTGGTTAACATGAAACAGGATTTGTTTAATCTTTGCAGGTTTGTGTCAGGAGCCATTCCTGCTGGACATTTTACTCACGTGTTTGTGGACGAGGCTGGACACGCAGTGGAGTCGGAGTGTATAATCCCAGTTGCAGGTACAGAAAACAAACGGCACGGTGTTCTGATTTAGCACTGAACTGGCTTTAATTTATTTTTTACACGTTTTGATTGTTTTTGGTGCATAGGGTTGCTCGATGCAGAATCTGGACAGCTCGTTCTGACAGGAGACCCTAAGCAGCTCGGACCCATTCTCAGATCTCCTTTTGCAATAAAATACGGGATGGGTAAGACAGCGCTCTTTTTGCAAAGCTTTATAGCAGATTTAACAGTTTTGCAGTTCTATCAGGTTAAACGGATGTGCTGTCTCTAGGAGTGTCCTTCTTGGAGCGCCTGATGTCTGATTTCCCTCTGTACCAGAAGAACGAGGGCGTCTACAACAACCGCTTCGTCACCAAACTGCTGCGCAACTACAGGCAAGCTTTAAGAGCTGAGCTGTGTGTTACTTGTTGACAGAAACCAGGTGCTTGAGTTTTCTGAATCCTGCGGCTTGTTTTTTCAGATCTCATCCTGCCATTCTAAAGGTTCCCAACGAGCTTTTCTATGATGGAGAACTGCAGGCTTGCGCGAATGAATCACGCAACAACTACTGTAGATGGAAGGGCCTTCCTAAGCCGGTATTAATTTTTCTTAACTGTATATTGGATTTTATCATGAAGCCAAAGTAAGAAAATGTCACATTCAAATTAACAGATTAGCATTTCTTGAAGAAATGCATATCATGCGTCACTTTTTCGTTAAGAGTTTTAGATTAAGATCGTCTTATGTTGAGAAAGGGCTTAGTCTTGGCAGTTTTTGTCAAACAATAAAAGTAGCTGTTGATGTCATGAGATGGTTTGCTCAGCATGTGTTGTGAATAACTGTTACAAACATGCCACATTCTGCGAACCAAGTTTCATTAGTTTTAATGTCTGTTTAGAAATGAACACTATCAAGGTAAAAGCAGAGGTGAATTTATGTTTCCCTGCAGATCCATCACTCTTATGTGGCAGAAGCACTGCATCCAAATGTTTCACATTTTTCACACTGCCCATTTTAAACAACCTGTTTTTCCAGACTTAATTCAGTATCAGTCAAACGACACACCCATCTTTATCTGAGGCTGCACAAGGCCTGAAGAACTTTTAGGTTGTAAACAAAAGTTTAGAAGTTCAAAGCTGTATTGTTTACTGATTGGAATGCTAGTTTCATTGAAATACTTATTAGACAGTTTACACAAGGACAGCTTTGTGGTGGTGTTTTGACGTTTACTGCTGAGCAAAACGTCTCGAAAGGTGCACCACCACATCAAACAAAGTACTCTGTAAAGGGATCCACGATTAGTTGTAACATTACACTTTATTTGATAAACATTTATTTTAACTGTAAAATAAAAACAGTAAAAATACTGTAGGCTGTTTAGTTTTGTAAATTTTTCAAAATATATTTTAACACGGACGGAGCCATTTTATTTACACGCAAAGCATTCTGGGTAAATGATGACATCAACTAGGTCATCAGTGCGAGGGTGCTAGCGAGCTATATCCACCCTGAAGGTTAATCTTGGACAATATCTGACGATCGACTCTTTTAAATGAAACCAGAGAGCGTTGACAGAGAGGAGAAGGTAGAAATGATTCAACCTGTAACTGAAAATATGGATGGAGGACAACAGAGCTGCTTCATGGAAGAAGAACCTCAGCGTAGCCTGTTGGCCTTCGCACTAGCCCTCACGCTATATTGCCTTATACAGTATGTATTAGCTCGGTGCTAGCACAACAAACAAGCTAAACTGAGGTCCTCCATCCATATTTTCAGTTACAGGCTGAGTAATTTTTGCTTTCCCCTCTCTGTCATGTGGCTGGAGGACCTCAGTGACGAGAGGAATATGTATAGCGCTGAGCTAATACATATATATGATGATAGCATCGGGGCTAATGCTAAAGCTAACAGGCTAAGCTGAGTTTCTTCTTCCATCCATATTTTCAGTTACAGGCTGAGTCATTTCTACCTTCTCCTCTCTGTCAACGCTCTCTGGTTTCATTTAAAAGAGTCGATCATCAGATATTGTCCAAGATTAACCTTCAGGGTGGATATAGCTCGCTAGCAGCCTTGTGCCGATGACCTAGTTGATGTCATCAATTTCCCAGAATGCTTTGCGTGTAAATAAAATGGCCCCGTCTGTGTAATATATTTTTAAACTTTTAGTTTAAAAAATTATAAAAACTGAACATCCTACAGTATTTTTACAGTCTTTATTTTACAGTTAAAGTATATGTTTATCATATAAAGTCTGATGTTACAACTAATCAGGGATCCCTTTAAGAACTTTTGTCCTCCCCTTGTTTTCCAGGGCTTCCCAGTGATCTTTCATGGGGTCCCCGGTGCTGATGCACGTGAGGCCAACAGCCCTTCGTTCTTTAACGTCGCAGAGGTGGAAGTGCTGATGGATTATGTGAAAAAACTGCTGCAGTCACAAGGCAAGACCGGCCTGGCTAAAATTGAACCCAAAGACATCGGCATCATCGCCCCCTACAGGAAGCAGGTAAGAATTATTTCCATGAAACACAAGTTGAGTTTGTGGCTTCTCTTTTCAGATCACTGTGGTTGGTGCACGAGCAAACACTCATTTAGCCACGTGTAGATTAAACGGTGCAGCTGTTTTGTCTTGTATAGGTGCAGAAGATTCGTAAGGCGCTGGATAAAGTTGGGAAAATCTTCAAGTACATGAACATGAACATGAATGAGCTGAAGGTAAGTAAACTGAAATTAAAGGTCATCCATATAGAGTAGCCAGTTTGCTTTGAATATATCCGAATGTGTGCGCGCCAGGTCGGTTCGGTGGAGGAGTTTCAAGGCCAGGAGAAAAGCATCATCTTGGTGTCCACAGTCCGAAGCAGCTCAAATTACATGGATTTTGACAAAAAGTTCAGTCTGGGCTTTGTCAAGAATGAGAAGGTAAGCGGCACAAGCTCTCACACACACTTTGAAAAGCCTTTCACACACCATTCCGTCGTGTTTTCCAGAGATTCAATGTGGCTGTGACTCGAGCCAAAGCCTTGATGATTGTGGTGGGACACCCCGTAGTTCTGAACACAGACCCTACCTGGGCTCGGCAAGTCTTACCTGTATATAAAATTACTTTAAGAGGCCAGTCTAAACATTCCTCCCCCCATATCATTTCTCCGCAGCTTCATTCAGTACTGCAAAGATGAAAAGGGCTACACTGGATTTGATCCTTCAGATGATGATGATGATGATGATGATGATGATGATGCACAGATGGACCTCAGACATAGCATGCTCTACTTGAGCATTGACGGTCATGGTAAAAGACATTTTATCAGCTTGCTTAAATTAACTGATCACCATGTTTTGAAATAAACTTTACTTTCCTGATTTACTTTTTATCTTTTTAGCTGAGACTGAAGAAAGTGTYGTTCAGCAGCAACTGGACCCAGAGTGGAGGAGCGACATGTGAGCAACACAAGTCTGGATTAGACGCACCGGGAAGACTCCAGTTGTGTAAACTGGACTTAGATCAGCTGTTAGTCTTAACCCTTATGGGCAGTCATCTCAGGGTTGTTTCAAGGTTTTTGACCAAAAAATGAGCTTTTTTTAAAAGACAAAAGTATTATTCTAAGGTGAATAAATGATTCAGGGAATATTGATGCATGACGCTTACCATGATTTTTAATTCATTGTAACACAAATTATACTTAAACATTTCTGAACTGCTTATGAATTTAATATTTTTTAAACTGAAGTATAATAAAATAATCATGTGCAAAATGTTCTAAAGTATAWTTTTTCACTATATTCCAAACATTAAAACCAACTTTTACATACAGTAAGTTTGTTGTACTGCAAAACAAATCCAGTTAAAATATAGAATTTCAAAAATACTTTTAATGTCTTTTTCCCCTTATACACAAATTCAACACATTCCACTTCTATTTGCAAAGCATCAATCATTTTTAAAGAGGTCTGATACTGAACACTGGGACTGTCCAGATATTAGACTAGGCCCACTACATTCCAATCTGTTGATCCTAAAGTTTTATACAGAAGAAAGGCAAACAGTTATAGTTTATGACCGTGGCAAGACCAGTTGGCCATTAGTACAACAACATACAGGTGGTTAGGGGTCTTTCTATGCAGAACTGAATCCAGATTATGCATTTTCTCAAGATGTGATAGAAAAAGTATATAAACTGCAAACAACTACCTACTTGGATGTGTTTGTCTTTGACAAACACCATTAATACTATTTGTGCAACAAAAAAGTCCCAGTTTCAAATGGCCAATAGACCTGATCTTGGTTGTTTGAAACGAATAGCATCATCCTAATGACAATGAGCTGCCAAAGTGGCTGTCAGTTGTGTATCTTGTATTTAAAAAACAAATCTAAATGTGTACAGAGTACATCCACCCTCAGTAAACTCAGTGCAGTGAGGCTGGATTACTGCACACTGCATTTGAAACAGTACTGAGATCAGACAGGAGGCTGCACTGTAGTTGAGGGAAAAGCTTTGTTGATGTCTGCTGGAACCAGAGTGAGCACAGCTGCCAGTACTGTCCACAACAACAGACCACTGTCTCTAGTGCCAGTTCAAGCCATCACCATGAACAAGAGTTACAGCCCAAAGATTCTCCCTACAAATACTTTGCTGCTTTTTCAGTGTTCTGCATGTAGGCTACAGTGGATTCATCAAGTGTGAACAGGCCAATTTTAGTCTTTAGTGGATGAACAAATTGTAAAATACGGTTCTGCTGACAGAACAAATTTTAGTGTATGAAATTAATAGTGATCCAACACAGAAGAATGCAACAGAAGCTGGTGTATAAAACGTAATGAAGTGGTACATGGAAGAAAGTTCAGGAAAAGCACAAAAAGGCAACAAATCTAAAACAGCCTTATGGCTGAAAATAAAGAGATGTCGTTAGTGGGCAGGAGGAGCCCACAGGACTCTCTGTAAACAAATAATCGTGACACACAGGCAGACGCTTGGCATTTTTAAAGAATATGCACATTTAAATAGAAACATACATTCATACAGAAAGAAGGGTCCAGTCCTTAACACAAGCAGGCTGATGTGCTGTTGCAAAAAAATAAAAAAACAACAGGAAACAATAAGTAGGTGAGTTGTAAAAGAAAACTTAAACAAAAGGGCTGATTTGTTTTGCTTTTAAACAGATGTGGCAGTCTTTTATGTTTGCTTGCATCTGTAGAGTAAGTACAGTCTATGGAAGCCATTGATTTAGGTTTTTTCTAAGTTTGCTCTGTGTGTCTGGGAGGGTCCTCCCATAGGTGCTGATGAACCAATAGATACTGGCCCCCTTCACAGTAGCTGGCAGCCACCCCTCTTCTTGCGCTTGCGGACCTGCAGTGCTGCTCTGGTGGCCATCTCGAACACATCCCGCACACCATCCTTCGTCTTGGCTGAGCACTCCAGGTAACCAAAAGCRCTGATACGGTTCGCCATGTCCCTGCCCTCCTCAGACTTCACTGGTTCCTGGGATATACAGAAAGGATTAAACATTTCACTTCAGGTATGCAGACAACAGGCAGTAAAGATGATAAAAGCTGAGAATATAATTATGCTTGACGCAGAAACACACTTGTTTCATCTTGGCCAACTCCCTACGTGTGTGTTCATCATTTCTAAGGTCCTTCTTGTTGCCCACAAGGATGATGGGGACGTTGGGACAGAAGTGTTTCACTTCAGGTGTCCATTTCTCTGGAATGTTCTCTGTGAAAATTTAAAACACGAAACTATAGTCAGAGCCCAGTTCATACCAAAATGTATCCCCTATAAGGAGAGTAGGAGGAGTTTCCTCTGATTGTGCCAACAAACATCAAGAGGTCGTTGACCTCTGGCTGATGGCGTTGTCTGAGCATGCTGACAAAAATCTGCCGTTTTCTTTGGAAGCAGATGTCATTATGCCCAAGAATGCTACGAGACATTACCCTTAATAAAATACTGTGGGAGAAAATCAAATGGCTGAAGTTTAAAAAAATAAAAGACAAAAACATGTTTTCACATTAGATTTGATTCATTTTAAGACCAAGAATAAACTGTTCTAAATGTAACATTTTAAAACTTGTTAAACACAACCTAGAGACGGCACTAAAGCCATCTTAAGTACATTTATTATATTTATTCAGTTGAATCAACTAAATTTAAAGCAATTACAAAATTAGAGATAAGCTCAAAATGTTGCCACAATATCACCAAATTTCAAATTTCCACATTTCAGTGGGTATTTGGTTATACATCTCACATCTCTACAGGTTAGCTAAATTCTGTTTAATTTATAATTATCTGGACTTTCACTTTGAGTATAACTACAGCAGCTAAGCAAAAGTACTGTGTGCCAGTCTCTTTATTAACATGTCCTGTTACCACACAAAATCCGACTAAAACCACTTTTAAATAGTGAAATATTGTTTTTATGAAATCTGCAAACAGTAAACAAAATATTAAAAGGGGAAAAAAAACACCAACAGCCTTTGTGAACAAGTATTTTCAGCCTTACCTAAACTGTCAGGGCTGTCTATAGAGAAACACATAAGGATAACGTCAGTGTCAGGGTAGGAGAGGGGCCGCAGTCGATCGTAGTCTTCCTGGCCTGCAGTGTCCCACAGGGCCAACTCCACCTGAGAGAAGAGCAGGAAAAGAAAACTACAGATTCAAGAGGCAGCAAGAACAGAGCATAAATTCTGCTTAATTTTAAAAATTAGGTTTTCACATATCACCTAAACAAAATAAAAAAAATGTACAAAAACAATACTGCCAATAAGAGAAGCAATTTAGACAGGATGGAAATAAAGGATGGAACATTCTATTCATCCATTATCAGACAAAACAACATCTCTTCAGTGGTGGAAGTGTTTCCCACAGGGCCTTTAGGCTGTTAATCAAGCTGGTGGCAGTCCCAAAGCATCTGGCCTGCTCTATATAAAACAATTGCCCAGTAAAAAATCCAATGAAACAGCTCAGCAAAAACACTACCACGTTTAGTACACCAATAAGGTCAATTCATGCAAAATGTATCATTATATAGGTCTGAGCCTGAACTACATCTTGACCCAATGTTATTCTCCTATGTGTTTTCTTTACAGCAGACACATAACTGAAACAATTACAGATAAAAACCATTCCTGCTGCAGCCAAAAACTGGATACAAACTGTTATCATCCCCAGTGAGCAACTCCAGTATCTAAGCAGCTTATCTGGACTGCAGACTTCTCACTGCACTCTTTTATTGCCAAGTCTTTGTTGTTGGATCACCGACTACTTACTTTGGCAAGAGTAGCTAGACCCAGTGGCACAGTCAAGAGTTTTCTAATCACAGGGAGATTTATACTAGAGCAATATAACATATTTGGTCAAAAGCTTTTTGACAAACCCCTATATCTACTTTAAAAGACAACAGGAGAGCAGCCACACCTCAGCCACTAGAGACAGGTAGCTTTAGACTCAAACAAACCTCCAACAGGCATTTGATTTAGAAAATCTGCATGAAAAGGCAAGAAAATAATGGAAAGTAGTTCCTGCCTGCCTTTCAAAATGATAGAAAACAAGGAATTAAAAAGTTGCTGAGTATAATCAGCCAGTTCAGTTTACCTCCAAATTTTTATTTCACTCTTCTCAACAAGWTGTTTAGTGTTTTTCCATAAATTCAAGCTAAATAATACAGCAATACTTCCGGTTCATGATAAAAGTTGACATTTTTCCCTTTAAACTAAATTTCCATCTTGAATTGTTTTCTGTTTAGGTTCATGCTTTTTAAAAACTAAATATAAATGCAGTTCTATCTCAAAAACATGTGAAGAGAAAAAACTGATTTGCCTTTTTCCTTGATCAGCTTTTTATGTAGCAAGACTCAACTTTATCAAATTTCTGTTGTGCTGTTCACCTTTTAAATTAAAATTAAATATTTTGGGTTGAAAAACAGATTGGAGCAGAGAGGGTTTCAAGTCCTAAATATCCTTTATATTTGATCTAAGTTGACAAACTGCACAAAATTATCAAAATCAGTAATAGTACATTTTATTTGATGGCACCTTACAGAAATGTTTGGCCAAATGATCCAGTTTGTCTATTTTTTCCTTATAGGGTTTTTTATGTATAGAAAAATGTACTGCTGTAACTTGAGTGGCAAAAAGGAACAAGTAAAAATTCTAATAAAATTTGTGATTTTACTGTAAAGAAATATATACAGCAAGATATGATGTCTTATGTCTTGTCAATCAGACTTAAAAGTATTTCTTAAATAAAACTCACACCATCATAAATTTGTGCACCAATTCATCTTTTGTAGAACAATCAACTTGATAGAATCAGAACTTTACAGAGCTGATCCCAAGTTTTGCAGCACAGGAAGCAGTAAGAGGAAATAGGATATTAGTCATAATATACAGGGGTGGCAATGGATGGAGGACTTCAACTCTGATCAGGAAGATAGCATAGATCCACTTCCTGTTGTTGGCTTAAAGTCTGTCTGATTATTACAATGAAGTGAACAAAAGGTTTGCTCACATTATGCATTTATCCCTGTGAATCACAACAACCAGGTTCTATACTGTCACATAAAACAAACTGCTCTGACTACTCGTCAAGGGTTAAGCTAAACTCAAATTCCTGCTGTGTTCTAATTCCTAATCATACTTATTCTGCAGTAATGCATCCTGTGTTCATTTCACCTCAACTTGTTTTATAATAATTTTTAAATGTATTACACAAAGTAATGATTTTATTACCTGTAACATGACCTGTAATTTTAACAGACAAATAAACGCAGTATAGTTTATAAGTTTAGTATTTTCAGCAGAGTTTAAGTTGTGTGAAAATCCAGTACACTGATTATTAGGGTTGTGTATTGTCAAGTATTTGGTGATATGACACTTATGACACAGGAGTCACGAGACAATATATACTGCAATACTGTAAGCAAGGCAATATGCTGTATTGCCATTTTTTTCTCTATAAAACCTAATTAAAAAAACTCAGTATGTTTGATATGTATTTTATAGTTTTCATATTTCATCCATGTTTTCAGTGGTTAGGACAAATGTATCAATAATTTGATAATGTATTAGTGCTGGGCGGTATGACCTCAAATTCATATCACGGTATAAACTGAATCCCTTCACGGTAAAGGTATATATCGCGGTAGAAAATTATAATTAAAAGTAAAGATAATGTAATTTTTAGAGCCTTTTTTTTTTGCAGAAAACTGTAATCTTAATCAAACCCAGCATTTTTGCTTTGATATCTGCCTGATGAACTTATCAGCTGCTGCTCTGCTGCGCACTTATCTTCATCAGCAGAGCAGAAGCCGACTTCACATTAGCAAGATGGATTTAGGACTGAACGAACATCCACATCTTTTTTTTTTAATTTTATAATCCCTGTGGGTAACAATGCATAAAAAACAAGTCTTTACTCTGGCAATTGGTGTGAAAAACTGGTTGTTAATGCTTCGCTCTGCGCGACGTGCAGCGGGAGGGAGGGAGGCAATGATCCCGCGACACGACGTACCTTTTCTACAGTGGGCGGGGGAAATTTTGAGGATTTATTCTCTCTATACGTTTTAAAACACTAGAATTTCTTTATTATATTTTGAACCAACCACACTAATAGCTTATATCTTGTGCTAAAGTTCAGTAAACAAATCAAAYGAAGCTGCTCCTGCCTGTGTTTGTCAGGGAGCACCTTAAGGGGGTAAAGCAACTACGCCAGTCATTTCAAGACCCTCAGTGTTTCATATGGTCAATGCTAACATTTGAGCTAGCATCATACGCTAAGGCTCCTCAGGCGTGGAGGAGCCTGATTGCTGGCAACTAGGCTAAAATACAACACAAAAATGAACTGCTGGCATTAAAATTTGCATTTAAAACCTTAACTAAAAATCGATACAGTGCTAGAGAATCAATACAGTATCAGGAAATAAAAATTGCAATATTGTATTGTATCGATATTTTTGTACACCCCTGCTGATTATATGTATAAACTCTGTTCATGTCATTGTTCATCGTCTTCAACAAACATTTTTAGCATTTTGTACCTGTTTGCTATCAACTTCAATGTCAGCAATGTAGTTTTCAAACACAGTGGGGACGTAGACCTCCGGGAACTGATCCTTACTGAAGACGATAAGCAGACAAGTCTTCCCACATGCACCATCTCCAACTATCACCAGCTTTTTTCGGATTGCAGCCATCTACAAAAACACAGGGAGACGTTTACATGTTGAGGCTTGTCACAGTATACAGCAGAAAATTGAGTTCAAACAAGGACATATGGAGAAGGACTGTAACCATAAATAGTGTGAGAGTAAGAAAGAAAGAAAGAAAGAAAGAAAAAAACGATGACCCAAGTCTGTTTTAGAGCCACACCCTCTTCCTTTTCCTGGGTTGTGTTCTGTGTACGAGGTGAAAAACAGAGTAGGAAAAGAACCAGGAGTGGTAGACTTGTAAAAACTGCCGCTCGACTTGCTTCCTTCTGCACGAGCTCAGTCAATCACATTTTCTCATTGTGTCACTTCTACATCTTAAGGAGTGATGCACAGCTCTGAATTTTGTCAGACATGGCCCTATTAAACCTGTCTCTGCTTCGTCTTTTCTTTTATCCACGAAAGGTGTGTGATCTAAAATAAATGTTGCAAGAGATGGAGTGACTATCTCACACACCAAAAATCCTGTCTGACAGGCTGAAAAATAATGAAGAGAAGGCAGAAAGAGAAAGTTTTGGATGACAGCCAGTAGCATAAGCCATCTTGACCCACACAAAGACAGAAATCTCTGCCATCACACGTCAAGAAGTTTCATAACAAATTTAAGGTGTAGAAAACTGTGATGAACCAATAAACTATTGTCAGACTCAAGTTCCTGCTACCACTGAGCTCCTCAGCATTTTTCAGATCTATTGTAATGGTTTACTACAAGCTACATACTGGTTTTAATACTTTTCAAAATGGTTTTAGCTGTATGTAACTGCAGTTTTAGGTGAATAAACTGAGCTGTATTTTATTTCCAAAAGTTAATGTTTAAATTTATCTTGCTCATTGTCCCACCTGGAAACCAATTGCAGAAAAAAAAAAAAAAAACGGACTGCTGTGTTTTTGCTAAATAACTTCAAGGAATATAATGAAATGTCTGATAAAAATACCATTCAGTTAAGGAAGCTTAACACTTGTCTGATCAGACATGTTTCTCAAAACATTCCAGAAATGCACATCAAACCATCAAAGATAGGAAACTCACATGGGCCCCAACATTTTTTTGCACAAAAGTGGAATTCTTTTTGTCCCAACATTTCTTTGTTTACATATTATGTAAATCAACACTTGCAATGGGAGTTTTATTACTCACATCTATACACACATTTTAATTAATGGCCCTGTGCTGGTTATTTTTGAGTCCCTGCGGTAACAGCTACATTTTCCACCACCAGAACAACAACAACAAAAAAAAAAAGACAACAGTTCGGTTAGATTTTTATTTCTACACATTAAATCAGGCCAGTGTGTTGTCAGGAGTCTCTGGAGAGAGCCACCTGTTCTCTGTGATAGCAGGCTGCTGCTACTACATACATCATTCTGTCATTGCCAGAGGGAAGGTGCACACAAACACCTTCAAAAACACTTYCAGTAGCTAACACTGAAAAGTTCAAAAAGAAATTATGGCTWCTGCTGCAGATTTAGAAATGAAAGAATGCTGCTTATTGATTGTTATGAATCTCACAGCACATTGCTTACCGTTACAGTGGCAGCACATTGCACTTAGAGAGGTTAACGGTCCCTTTTAGTTGCATTTCTCTGTGTTTGTTGAGTGAGTGAGTGAGTGAGTGAGTGAGTGAGTGAGTGAGTGAGTGAGTGAGTGAGTGAGTGAGTGAGTGAGTGAGTGAGTGAGTTCACTGTGTCAAGACAAGGACAAGAACAAAAACTTTCTCCCAATAAGTTGATATATTATGCATTCAAAATGGAAATGAAACAACTTAAACACTGAGGAAACAAATGAAGAGGATATTAAATATTTATACACAATATAGATGCTAATTTTACAATTTATATAATATAATCAAAASTGCAATAACATATTTAAGATGCAAGCACTTTTCAGATAGAGAAAACATGATTTTGTTTTTTGAATGAAAAGAAATATGTGTGTGCACACTTTTTTAAATGCACTGTACACTGTGCTTATTCCCACTTGTTGTGCCATCAGTCACACTGAATGTAAAATGAGTAGCCCAAAGCTAACAACTTTAGCATTAAGTTTAGCAGTGATTAGAAATCACAATCTGCCACTTACAATATTACCTAAAAAAATGATCACAAATGTATTGACCTGGTTACAAGCTCAGCAATTACTGCATCCACTAAATGTGTGGATTTAATATCCAACTAGGCACAGCTAACACTGGATACAGGTGTGAGACTAATAAATAAATGAAGGAGACAATATCAATATTTCACGTCTAGAAATCAACCTTTATATTATTAAAAGTTGAAAAAACAAATGTTAGTTATTAGCTGCTGCTGCTACACACACTTGCATGAAACACTATGAAGTTTTTGGGAGAAGAGGTTTATCTATTGAATGCTCTGCCTTTGTATTGGCCTTGCTTGGACTAGCTGTTAGTTTGTTTAGCTCATCAAAATTAAAATGATATTTCTCCAAACAGACGCTTGTTTAAAGTGCCTATGTGTCTACAGCTTTTTATAAGAAATTTTCATACAAAATTACGGTACTCAAGAGATTAAATCATTCAGGAAACAATTACTGTGAGCCAGAGTATGCATCTGAACACCCAACAGCTCCTGCACATTATTGACCTCAGAGAAAGATCATAAACCGCATGCAGACTTCAACTTTATGTCTCTTAGTAATGATCCTGTCTTGCAGAATATCTGTTCTTGAACAGCAACGGACAAACCTATTCCCAGTACATGTGGCACACAGATTCCTGCTTTTCCATTTCTCCCCCTGGGGTGAACACATTACAAAGTTTTGCTTAGTTGAGGTTGGTAAAAATGGCACCAAGTAACCTGAGACTGAGTGATAGTAACATCTTTCTTTAAAGCCATCCTAATTTTTATTACAACCTCATATATTTATTAAATTGTTTGTACCAGTTTAACTAAAGCACAAATAAGTAACCAAGTAAATAAATGAGATCCAAGTAGACAAAGGAAACTCAGGTTGAGTGTTCATAAAGTTAAGGGTGTGATCTAAATTTATGTTTTGGAGGGTTTTAGAAACAAAAGTACAAACAAGTTCAAAACATTTTATCTGCCTTATTTTATTGCTCTGAACATGACAAAAGCAGCTCTGCTCCAAAACATCTAACACTCTGCCTTCACCAGCGGTGTCATCTATCAGATGAAAAAATACCGTAAGCAAATGCTGAGACATTGGCTGGTCTGTTAAAACACAGAAAAACATGCAGAATGAGGGATTTCACATCTACTTAAAATGTTTTTCCCCTCTACACAAATCATCCCTTCTTAGGGTTAAAAGATTTACAACACACGATTCAAATATTATATTATATCAATATATAACCTATAAATCAAATATTATACTTAAACTGTGATGGAGTCACAAAAATTTAGGATGTAACTAAAAGCATTGTACTCACATATTTGAGTATTTCAATCTTTCATTAAAAAAAAAACAATTTTCCTGAAGTTAATGCATGTAAAATAAGGCCTCAATGGAAATAAACCTATCTACAAATAAGTTAAAACCAAATTCAGGTTTTCAAAGACAAATCTGATTCTAGACCCCAGGTTGCTGCAAAGAATTCCTGACTGTGGAGGCTGACATCACAAAACCTAGCTGGAGCTCAAAATAGGGCAGAGATATTGAGACTCCCCCCACCCGCCTTATTTATCACAGCACACAGCTCAGCTCGAGTATGAAAGGAAAAGAGCAAAAATTATGAATTATGCCATCATTTGTCCCTCAGTCTATCAGCTCCACTTCAGACAGAAACAAAAGTCAGACAGACGGAGGAATGAAACAGAGGTGTGTGCTGGTTAGGGGATAAAAAAATACAAACAAACAGCTGCAGCATCTGTAACAAATGTAAAAATATAAAAACAATGTTCTGTCATCTATCTTCTTTGACTGTGAATAAATGAATTGGTAAACAAGTCATCAGTTGATTTGGAAACCTCTCTTATCAGAATCTGAAAAGACAGAAAGGCATTTCTGCTTTCCAAGTACTTCTGCAAGCTTGCCGTTTCATTATGCAGCGCACATATGCAGCTGCACATGCCTCAGCTGGACGTGATGAAGCAGCTGACTTTATTGAACCCCGTTCTCCACCCTTTGCTCTGGGAGCTCCCTCTCCTATCCATTCTCCTCAAGACTCATCCCTTGCTCCATGTGTTGCAGTGTGATGTCACCAGCAGGAAGCTAATGTAGCACATCCTTAGGGCGCAGCATCCCTCCTATTTTATTTTGTATTTTTTGCAGTTTACATACAGGACTAATAAGAACTGATATGCATGAGCTCTCCCATGAGTCACAAACTTTGCTGACAATGTCTTTCTATTATTGTTCATTGTGAGCTGATAAAACATTTTATCAAATCATGTAAAGAATCTGAGCCCCTTTGCAGGAAGCTAAATGCTAAAACGTTTCTTAGTCTGTGGCAGAAAATATGAAGTTGTTTTCTTTCAGCTGCTCCCTTCTGCAGGGGTCMCCACAGCATGTGTACTGACATGAAAGATTTGGCAACTCTCTCCTGCCAGATGCCCTTCCTGACGCAAATTGGCCTCTAACCTGTAGCCTCAGTATTAATTAGTAGGACAAAATAAACTAACACTTGTGGTCCAATTACTACAAATATTTAAGACAATTTGAGACAATGAATGATGATCAACAAGCAGGGAAACACTTAGTATAGGTACTGCTGTTCTTATCTTCTGCTTGGAGATTTGTCATATTAACCCACCATTAGGTGGTACACAGATTTTCTGGTCCATTTTATTAATAAAGCAAAAAATAAAAAAATAAAACTAAAAATACACAACTGACACCTAACATGACTCAGGAAATTGCTTTAAATTCAGCTATCCTTACTTTAAACCTTTACATATTCAGGGGTAGACATGAGGATATTTTTCAGGTTGTCCAGCAGACTACCTGTTGACACGACCTGGTTGTCMGCAAAACATTTTGGTTGTCCAGAAGAATCTCAAGAAAAATGTAATTTAACAAGTATAWTGTTCTGTAGATAAAGTTTATTATATATAATTGTTCTCAGTCAGCCAGGTTGACAGGATCTGCGTGAATAAAACTTCCTCATTCTCTTCTTTGATACAGAGTATTTAAAGCTCAGGGAGTAAAGCAGCAAAAATGTTGCTAATAAAATCTAGAGGTTACCCAACATTCATAAACTTATTTTTAMTCATAGTCAAACATTTTCACTTAAATAGGAGTATCCTGTGTACATGACCTTCTTAAAAGTTACAGTTTAGTGTTCTGTTCGGTTTTACCAAGTTTTTTCTCCTTTTCATTTTTACAAATGATGGACAACCGCAGCAGAGAACTTTAATCAAGGTCTTTTTTTCTTGGTTGTCCAGCGGACACCAGGAGACAGGATCTGGTTGTCCGAAATGAAAATAGATCGTCTCAGACAACCTAAACGATGGTTATGTCTACCCCTGCATATTTGTATAAAAGTTAAAATTGCAAAACAAATATTGGTTCAGGTGTAAATTTTTCATGTATGTAAATATTTAGTTGCATTTACTTCCAGAATAAAAGGGCTTGTGAAAAACTGTTCTTAGCCATGCGGAGCCCTTTTAYTTAAGCACATATAAAACAATCTGTGGTCACATCAGCTCTCCAAACTAAACAGGTCTCCATGGAAATCATGGCTGATGGAAAGCTGCCCACACAGATCTGGGAAAGGATATTGTGGAGGCTCGTTTTTGAACACCTTGACTGATAGGCATCTACTACTTWACCATGAGTCTACTTGCAGCTCTCCACAGACCGTGAGTGTTTTAAATAGAAACAAAACAAAAGAAAAAAAATTGAAAATCATATCAAGCGAGCAATCACTCATGTCAGTGCTCGACTTTTTGTTTGTAGATTTGGCCTGAGGACAACTTGTGTACTTCCTTAGTTTTTCAGCACAAAAACTCATGTTGGCACATGCAGTCAGAGGACAGTAAAACAATCAGTGGTCTGCTGTACGACAGAAATAAAAACGGGCAACCTCCAAGTAAAATACCCTTCTGGCTGCTTTTGATCATAGTTATTTTTAAAAAAATTTCACCCTGACCTAAATGAGCAACTTAGCTATCAGTTCAACCTCAATAATGATAAATGAAATGAAAGATAAATGAAAATATTTGTATTATTTATCAATGAGGCATCAAGTCAACGTCGAATTGAGATTTAAAATATTAATGTGATTAGTGACTGACAGAATATTTAATATAGTTTTACTAGATGCTTGAATTTTAATGCAACTTGTTCAGACGTCAAATGAGATCCCTAAGCAGCATCACTGCTAATGTTAGCATCTCACTAAACTTTTGGATTATAAATAACAACAGGGGGGGACAAATTTACTGGAATATCATTGAGTTAAACGGCTAGCTGAGTGAGCATCCATTGGTTTAAAGCTGAAACTATTGACACATTAATGAAACTCACACAAAGTGATAACTGAATCAACAGTTTAACCTTTCAGATCACTTTAGTTCAAGGTGGCTACCACAGCTAATCCATCACACGTGACTCTAATTTTACAGATATTGAGTTAAAATATGGCAGGGGTAGTAGCTGAGAGTCATCCTTACGGCATACTCCAAGCTCAAGGTAGCCCTTTCTGTGCATGGTATATTTATATAATAAAACAGGTCAGGAGTATTTTATATTTAATTTTTCTGTTCTGCACATGTGCCAGTCTTATGTCCCTTTCTCTCAGTGCTTGTGACTTGTGTGGAAACTAACAGGGCAGGAGTCCTGATTAAGTTCCAACAGTTTTTTTTATTTTTTTTATTTTTTTTCTGCAGGTTTGACTTTGGTCCGACAAAAAACACACTGCTGGGAGTGCAGTTTTGTTTGGGGAAACATGCCAAGACAGGGAAGGGGAGCGATGTGAAGGTCTGCTACAGGAGCTCCTCAGCACAGCAGCACAACAACAACCAGGGTGTGGTGACTCGGAGAAAGGAATGTCCTCGGGACAGACAAATGTTTTACCAGTTATCTGAAACAGACGAAGAGAGGCTAGACTTTGACCGCTCATTACGAGAAAAAAAAAAGAGGCTAAGTAGCCGAGACTGTTAGCATAACATTTTGCTTTCTAGGAATTCCTATGTTAAAAAGGATGAAAATTATACATGATACTAACCAACCCTGTGCTCACTTGTCAAACAGGTTTAATTTAAAAGAACCGAAAGTTTGCTTTTCCTGCCAGCCAACCTCAGCTGTGTTTCCTCTAACTCCACATAATTTAATTACGTARTGAAACTGTAAAATACCTGTAAGGTCCGGTCCAATACTTAACAACGATAATATAGCTAGGGAGAATGTGCCTATAGTTTAACAGCGCCTTTCGGTTTTTTATTTTATTTTATTTTATTTTATTGACCGAACGTCGAAAATAGCCTTGAAAACTTTTAACTAAGTAACAGGTTCCAACTCGCCGAGCTTCTGCTTGTATCTCGGCTCAGTAACTAACTTCTCCACTCGTGCTGCTTTAATCAAACACTTTCCCCACAACTAACTGCATAAACCTCTCCAGCTCAATTTACGTGTAAAATAAATATGTACGGTCTTACCTCGCTGGAAACGCGTTTAAATTCTCCAACAGTGCAGTGTTTCTGGCTAAATGTTTCTCCGTTTCCTGTGAAGCTAATCAGCGAACAGGCGAAAGCTGACAAACCCGAGCCGCTCAAGACCCACCCATTGTGATGCGTTTAATGTCGACTCGGAAATTTTGCTTTTACAAGGGTTCTCATTGCTATTTATTTTTATTTAGCAAGATATTTTTTACAAATTAATTATGCCTTCATTCTTTGTGCTATTGTAACAATTATACCAAAATGTCACTCCGATGTGCTACAATGTTTAGTTTTTGTAACATTTAAAGTTTTCAAAAAACATAAAATAAAAATAAATAAACAATATTTACAAATATTTTCCTCATAAACAAACTGAGATCTCTTTAATTCTTCCATAAACGTTCCATTTGTAACAACCTTTATCATGTTTGTTCTATCTTTGTCTTCTTAAGCTACTTCTGATATTCTACAGTATTTTACCTTTTAGCTAGACCTTTGTTGTTTTTAGCTTTCAACAAGCCTTTTGCTACTTTTAGCCAGCAAGTTACTACTTTTGCTTATTTTAGCTTTACATTTTACTAATTTAACTATTACTCAGCCTTTGGTTATTTTTAGCTGTAAGCTAACCTTTTTTGTTTACTTAATAAGAAAGCTATGAAAGTGGAACAAAAAGGTTCTCGTTGAGAGTAAGACCGAGTGAGAATGTAGCACTCAAAATGACCCACTGTCAGGGAACGCAACACAGAACGTCTTCGACCTTTGGATTCACGCGCTTCCTTGCTATTGGCTGAAATCGTACAAGTCACCTCCCCTTTACGGTTAATGATGACATAATTCAATTTGTACAGGTTGCAAACGTGTATTTTTACTTTGGTTCATAAAAGAACTTCTTAATTAGTTTGTTTTTGTCTTACTGACAACATTATTAACACAGTTGTTTTTATTAATTATTGTATGAGGAAATGGACTTTGACCTGTGTGCTTTTCTCCCACAGAGCAACAGGAAATCATACAGCAGGGATTTAAGCTTTTCAACATGCCATTCTCCCAGTGAGGTCGCAAGTTCAGTCCCTGAAGCACTCTGTCGAAATGCAACAGCAGCCTCGAGGTATCAGAACACCACTTACAGTACAGACATAAAGACCACTTGTCACAAGTGTTCATATTTATTTAAAAATAGCTTTGCTAAATTAGATTACCCCACAGGAAAGGAAAACAAAACCTCTACATACCCCCACCCCAATGAATTATGGTAAAAATAAAGACTTGCAAGTTGCAAGCTCAATTCAATTTGGTTTAGCACCATTTCACACTTTACACACAAAAAGCCCAAATTATGAATCCTATTCAGTTCTAAAATTCTCTTCAATTACTTGACATCTACAAAAAAATAGCACTTTCACTTGCAATAAATAATGTATTGCTAATTGGTAAAGACAGGAGATTGCACTGAATCTTCATTTTGTTTGAGTCCAGCACTGACCTTTTTTACAGTTGCTAATGTATTAAACTGGGCACTAAATGCTGAAATACGTTCATTTACATCTGTTTTTGCATTAACTGTTTTATACTGACTTATTTATAGATTAATATTATTGGTATAGTAACTTGTGGTAGCAAAATGTCCTTAGTGTGCAATGTTGTGTGTCAGTGCACAGCTAAAACATGGATACGATTTAAACGAGTGTATCTCAACATAACAGAAATAAGAATATATTCTCATGCAAGAACCGTTCGTACGCACAGATTTGTTCTTAARTTGTGCGTACGAGTGATTTAGGAGAATTTGTGGCATTCACCAATGTTTTCATATTCTAAGATTTTTTTCAGATACGAACAAAATTCAGGAGTGGTCCAGACCTGTCGTATATTTTATGAGCAGTCAGTCTGCTGTTATCCAGACGGGTTTTCTTCACTAATAACTTTATATTTCGTTAGTTTGAAGATATTTTCAGTTGAAAATAAATCACACTCCATAATTATGTTGACAAAAGGCTATTCTGTTTGAATTAGAGTTATAGTTTTAAATGTAATAATTTAGACTTACAATATAAATTGTCCGTTCGTCCATTTTCAGCCGCTTATCTGGGATCGGGTGCGAGGGCAGCAGGAGAGAGACCCCGCTCTCCCCAGCGACACTCTCCAGCTCGTCCTGGGGGACTCAGAGACGTTCCCAGGCCAGAGGGTGTACACAATCCCTCCAGCGAGTCCTTGATTTTCTCCAAAGTGCCAGACTTATTTTGAAAACATTTTAAAATGCTTATTTCAAACCCGCATCTGAGACCACCTGCGACCGCGCAGCGCGCGGGGGTTACGGTGCTCAGCGCTGCGGCTTCTGAATAAATGAAAATGATTTAACACAGTTGTTTATGCTTTTAGCAGCTCTTTTTATTCCACAGCTGACCTGCTAAAAATGACAGATTTTCTTTTCTGGATCTCTGACAGACGGACTTCAATCTCTGAACTCGTAAAGTTTTTCTTTTTTTAGTTTTCGCTGTCATTTTTCATGAATGAATGGACACTTCCTTGTATCTGAGGCAGGAAACAGCCTTATATGGTGTTTTTGGGGTGGTAATTATGCTAATCTCCTCTCCTCGTGCACGAGCAGCTGGATAGAACAGGTGTAATTTACACAGCTCATTTACACCCTTTTCCTGAAGATAGAAGAGTTTGTTGAATCTGACGTGACATGTTCGTACGAACCCTTTGTACAAACAAAAGTAAGAGAAATTTAGGATAAGAATACGAACATGTTCTTGCATGAGGCCCAATGACTCTATCTAGAGCACAATGCATCACACACTTGGATCATGGTTAATGTAAAAAGGTCAATCCTGTGCACCACACTGGTGACAGTGGAAAGGCATGAATCTGTTTTGACAGGGAAAAAAAACACCATCAGAACCAGGCTCAGGACAGGCAGCCATCTGCCATGGCTTGGCCTAGATTGGTCCACATGTAGTTCTTACACCAGAGTATGTACGGAAAAAGGTGGTTTTAGATATTCAACCCACACACATCTTTGGAAACACTAATCCAGCGTTGAAACGTTTGTGTATTTTCTTGAACACACGCTTCAGTTTATTGATTAGCGAAGCCTCGTCAGTGGATTTACTCTACAAGGTGAAATGATTTTGTGCAGAACATTCAGCTTTGCTAGCATTTGAATTTATGTTTTCAACAAACGGTAGATCATTTTAATAGGTGGAGAACTATTAAAATGAGAGGCTGTCACATTAACCGTGTTACATCTCTTACTCACTCTGTACTGCTCCCTTAAATAGGCATACCATACATAGGCGGAGATCACAGGGGACAGGGTGTTCTAGAGATGTTCCAGAGTTGCATGCAAACATTCACTGCAGAGCTTTTCTATTTAGCCTCTAATAAAAGGATCAGAAAAGTAACATGCGGGTCAATTAGTAAATGTAGTAACATACTTTTATTACTGCAAGTGAGTAAGAATGCATTACATTTTTGTACTCCTATCTAATGACCTGTGTGATGACTTCCACTCACATTGCTGATTTTAGAAAAGCTTTCAAATGACATTGATTTAAGCTCAAATAAGTCATCACGAACCTTATCTATGAAGTAGTATAAAGAAAACAAAATACAGTGTACTTTTTACATTATGTCTCGCCACACTCCCATCTTCATATTTTATGTTCTAAAACACTGTTCTCCAGCAGATTATATCCTGCCATCATGTACATGTGGAAACAGAAATCACAAGAATACAGAACAAATTGTTTACTTATTCTCCTGAACCTCTCCTGTGTACATGTTAGAAAACCGTTCCTGTTATGCAACTGCTGAAAGACACACATGCACACACAAATGCCCCAAGGGTGGTGTGTTCATTTTCAAGGTAACAGAAAGAATGTCCAATTAGGACAACATTTGTTAAATACAATTGAGAACTGTGTTTTTTAAGTGAATTTGCTGATGGGAGATGCCATGGCCAAATAATTCTGTATTAGACTCTGCAGTCATGCTGCCAGAATTACACTGATTTCAATTCACTGTTGTTTATTAGGGTTTTACCACAAGGAAAAACGATTATTTAAGTTTCTTTGAGTCAGTAAAATAGAGTCAAACAAGAGCCATCTGGACTGTTCAAGGATGACATGAAAGTCACAAACAAAAAAACTTCTTAAAACCACATTTTCTGTTCATAACTCTCTGCTGTTTCATTGCTTTGTTTTGTTACTTTGTTTTCAGAATACTGTTTGATACATTCATACAGTCAGGGATTAAAAATAGATGACAGAAATGCAAATGAGACCTTCAGATACATCCATCCATCCATCCATTATCTGTACCCGCTTCTTCCTTTCAGGGTCACTGGTGCTCATATCCATCAGTGACTGCGCGAGGGGGGTGGGGTACACCCTAGACAGGTCCCAAGTCCATCACAGGACCACATAGAGACAAATGAGACAAACAACCATTCACATTCACACTCTACCCAGAAAAGTCYCCAGCTGGGATTCCATACAGCAACCTTCTTCCTTCTGATAAATTGAGAGACATTTCCTTAAACAGTCACTTTCACTGTTTTAGATTTGGGTATTATAGGTAGGTTTTGTGTGTGTGTTATGAACAATAATAATAATAATAATAATAATAATAATAATAATAATAATAATAATAATAATAATGATGATGATGATGATACATTTTTCAAGTTTTTCAGTCAATTAATTTGATTTTTCTTCAAGTTTATTAGGGTCTCCCATGGAAACATGCCTCTGAGTTATTTAGAACCCTTGATGATGAAACACCTATCACATCAGGAAACCTCGCCCACGATAGGGAAACCAGGGCACCTCCCTGGAGCCAGGCCTGGTGGGGTAGCATGCCGGCGAGCGCCTTGTGGTCAAGCCTTTTGCTCATGGGGCTCAGCTGGGCGAAGCCCGAAAGGACTACAGGAGGCCATATCCACATGGACCCACCACCCGTGGGGAGGACCATCAAGGTCGGGTGTAATGCATGCCAGACAGCAGGCGAAGGAGTGCCCCTGGCCATGCCGATTCCCGGCAGCAAAGACTGGTTGTAGGGACATGGAACGTAACCTCATTCATGGGTAAGGAGCCAGAGCTTGTGTGTGAG